GGGCGGGGGGGCGAACCTCTTGTGACGTCACTCTGTTAACCCCCCCGCCAAAACCAGACGGAAGAGAATAACTGCACAATGGGGACAGTACAAGGGACGGTAGATGGACTGTGAGGCCCTAAGTTTCAGTGCACCTTGGGTTGGTGCCCTCCCTCTGGCCTGAGTTTCTCCAACTGTATAATAATAATTATTTTTATTGCATTTCACGGTACACTTTACAAAACCAGCATGAAGAAGCTAAGGATTAGAGATCCATCCAAGGAAGAATGAGACAGGAATCTACGAGCTCTCAAGTAAAATCTCAGTTGCCTGCTTGGGAAGAGGAGCTTGAAGCATCATCAGTATCTTTTTTCCTAGTTCTGTGATCTCTGTGTTAGTGCGCCTCCCCATCTCCCTCAGGAATCCTAATTCACCTAATGCATTTTGCGTATGTTGGAGAGTCAATGAGAAGCCAATCACAAATCCAGTTGGGGGCAGTCTGACCATCAAGGATAAAAAGAGCCAGAGAGATTACCCAATCCAACCTTGTAAAAATCGTTTTTATTGCAAAATACGTCATGTACATAGAAGTGTATAAAACACATCCATCTTAATAAAGAACAATGCCTGTGCAACTAGCACCCAGTTAGCAAATAGAACATTAATGCCTTTTAAGCCCCCTGATTGTTTCACTGTGTTGGCTACCTACTTTGAAAGTAGCAACTACAGAGCCGGGCGTGGTGGCTCATGCCTGTAATCCCAGCATTTGGGAGGCTGAGGCAGGAGGATTGCTGTGAGTTCGAGACCAGCCTGGGCTACATAGTGAGTTCCAGGTCAGTCTCAACATAGAGAGACCCTGTCCCCAAAAAACAAACAAACAAAACAAAAGAAAGTAGCAACTACATTGACTTTTTTTTCATAAAAGGCTCCCTTTGCTTTTATGTATGCATTTCCAAACAAGATATGTTTAATTTGTCCTATTTTTGGTGTTGTTTACATGGAATTAATACTGAGTATATTCTACAACTTGCTTCTCTCACTTGTTTGATTCACACAATGTTGATGCAGATAGCTGAAGTTTATTCCACTGTTGGACAATATTTCAATACGAATATGATGTATACTGATTTGTGTATCCTTTTTACTAATGATGGGTATTTGTACTCTTTCAATTTTTAGCAATTATTAAAAATATTGTTATGAACATTCTAGTACATATCTTAACACACGTGGTAGAGTAAGAGTGGATTGACTATGAGGTTTTGCACATGTGGGGCATATGTTAAGTCACAGAGTAGTATTCTCAGTTTGACCAAATAATTCCAAGTTGCTGTCCAGAATGACACAGCAGTCTCAGCATCAATATTTGAGGGTTACAGTGGCCCCACATTATTCCCAACCCTAGCACTGTCAACCTTTCTTTTGTTCCACAAGATGTAAAATATCATCTCACTTGGTTTTCTAAGATTACCGACAAGCCTGAGCACGTTTTTATATGCTTATAAATTTTCTGCTACCTGTGTTATATATTTTTCATATCTTTGCCCCTTTTTTTCCTACTGCAATTTTTGTCCTTACAGGAGTTTTGTGTACTCTAGTTAGCAATTAATAAATTAATTTATTAGGAGTTGCTTTTGTGATACTGGGGATTCAATCCAGGTATTTGTGTAGGCTTGTATCTAGATGTCCCCCAAAGTCTCATGAGGTCATGGGTGGGGCTTTTTGGAGGTGGCTGGGTCTAGATTATGTGATGCTGGGATTAAGGATGTGATGCTGGATTGATTTTTGGTGTGATGCTAGGATTAAAGGTGCCCCACATTGGGTGTGAGTGCTATCTGTCCTAGGGATGGGTTGCCTGGATAGGATATAAGGAACAGAAAGAGGGCTGCTGATGTTGATTGCTGCTTTGCTCCTTTAGTACCTTGCTACCTTTTGCCCACCATGAACTGTTTCTCCTCTGCAATACCCCTCTGCCATGCCATCCCTGCCTTGGAGCCAGCCAACTATGAACTGAAACCTTTACAAACTGTGAGCCAAATAAACCTTACCAAGGGCTGGAGATTTAGCCCAGAACTTTGCCTGCCCTGCAAGTACAAAGTCCTGAGTTCAATCCCTGATACCAAAAACAAACAAACAAACAAACAACAGACCTTTCCTCCTTTGGTTTTTATCTCAACAATGAGAAAAGTAACTAAAACAGTACTTAACTGTAGATCTTTTTCTTTATGTTAACAACATTAATTCCTTAATTCCCCTGCATATTTACTAGTTTGCTACTGCAACTGCACAGATATCTTTATAAACTCTCAATGCTTAGTGCAGTTTGTCCATTTGTTCTATTATTGCTACTGATATTCTCACAGAGATGACAACCACTGTGCTGTCTTCCTACTGCTATAATGACAAAGCATCACAAAATTAGTGGCTTAAACAACACAGTTTTAACATCTTACAGTTCTGTAGGTCAGAAGTCTGACACAGGTCTTGTTGGGCTGAACCATAGGGTCACTTGCTTTCTGAAAGCTCTAGGAAGGAATCGATTTCTTTGCCTTTTTCAGCTTCTAAAAGCCATAAGCATTCCTTAGATCATGGCTTCCTATCTCCACATTCAAAGTCAAAACCTATAAGACAGGTCTATCACAATACATCCTTCTAACGTCTTACCTCCATCCCTTCCCTTTTAAGTATTCTGTGATTACATTGAGCCAATCTAGATTAACAAGATACTGTCCCTATCTAAAGACTATCTGGTTAGCAACCTTAATTCCACCCATAACCTTTATTCTATCTTTGCTGTGAAAATTAACATATTCATAGACTCCATGTACATGTAGGACAGGGACGTCCTGGGGGGATTACTGAAAATTCGTGATTTAGTAATGTTATTGAAAGGGGAGAAAAAGCATTGATCGGCTTTGGATGACTTTAAGAATCAAGTCATTCTAGTTCTTCATAAATAGAAGGAATTGAGCATTTTTTGAGTGTCTTTTTCTCAATGTTCTGTGATTTTTTTAATGTTTCTGATACATAATAAATACATCCATTTTGGGAATTCACACACACACACACACACACACACACACACACACACACACACATATATATCAATATCACATCTTGATCCTTTCTTGGCTCCTCCTTCCACCTCCTCCTGTCTCCCACATCTTTAGGTCCCCTACCTGTCCTCACAGTCTATCTCCTTATTTTCTATCATCTATCTTTTTTGTTCTTTAACTTTTTTTCTTTTAAATCTCTCATAGCAGAGAAATCATGTGATATATAACCTCCTGTATTTGATTTGTTCACACTTCAGCCTCACAATAATGCAGCTTCCAGTTTTTGAGCCAAGGCATAGAATTTTGGGTGAAAATCTGCCTATCCAGCAGTATTGTGAATGGCACCACTATAATTAATGATACCCCAGAAAGATTTAGTGCAGGTAGCAGATAAAATAGAAATAGTACTGTCTTAACATTTCTCTCATTTTATCCTCTATGAAGTTTTATTGGAAGTAAGTCCAATGAAAAATGTAAGTCTTAATCTTTCTGAGAAATTCTACCTCATTTGATGAATACTTTGAGGGGATGAGCTACAGCATTTTTTCTTTTATACAGTCTACTTTGCATTTATGAAGTGAATACAATAACTCACACTGTCTGGCCACATGACCAGAAGGCCAGAGGTATTTCTAAAGGCTTATATTATCTTTCGCTCATGCTCAAATCTCCATAAGACAATGCACTGCCAGCAAAACCGTGCCTTTATTATTAATAAGACTACTAAGAATAATAATAGCCATGGTAACTATTCCGTGGCATTTCTATTCAGGCAGCGTACACGGTATCTCAGATACATAATTTCATACCTCCCACAACTCAGAAGATATTTGTTTCTCGCTTTTAACAAACAAGGAAACAGTATTAGAGTAAATTAACTTGCCAGAATACAACGATAGTACCTGGCAGAGTAGGAGTGTAAAATGAAATATGTCCTACTTCAAAGATACTTCTTTTTGCTATAAAATGATCCATCTCAACATTATGCATTATTTTAATATCAGTAACAAAGAGACTGACTTGTTTAAGATACAATACCATCAAGTAGTCCTGATGACAAGAGTAACAGTGATATTGTGACTGACTAGATGTTAGTATAATCTGGCTTTTGATTACGAATCTGCTTTTCAAAGCATGTTCCTGTTATCCCAGTTGAAGACTCTTCTATATATTGAAGTTGAACTATTTTTAAATCTAGTGTTAACTATATTTCTTCATCACAAAGTATAGTATGGAAGGTTTAAGAGAAATAAGATTTCAAATTTCTGCTATAGTTTATTATGAAAAGATAAATCAGGAAGAACACCACAGTAAGAATTTTCTTGTGTAGATGAATATAAATTGCACTCCTTGGAAATGTGTGTTTAGGTTTAAATGTATTATACAACTATGTATAATAATACATACCCAGAAGAATTTTTGTTTCATTAATCTTATGCCCTTCAATAATATAATACTAGCATAATCAATAATAATTAGATTGTCATTCCTATAGCTGAGTTTTAGAAAGTAATAAGCCAATGAAGAATCATTTCTAAGTTCTTATATGATATTCTTAGACTTATACTAAGCCAGCTTGCTTTTGGAAAGCAAAAGGTGGGAGTATGAAGTTATTAGCCCTTGTTTGAGACTGTCTGCTGAATTTAGGCATTACTTCCCTTCCAGAGGGCCTCCTGAGCTTCAACCCAATTTTACCCATACAAGAAAAATAAAGACTTACAAAACTGCGCAATGGTCCCCAAAAGGCTATTAACATTGTATCT